CCCCCGCCCCACACCACAGAGGTTGGAACTCCAAGCCACCTGCGTTGGGAGCTGTGCCTACTTGCTGGTGAGAACATACATTCTGGAATATGTTCACCCACTTCCACATCATCAGTGGTGTTAGATTAAAGCAACACTTAAGAGCGAAATTCACTGGCATCCCAAGGGGTGTATCCGGTGTGGACCCCAAGCTACGAGGACACACGGGAGAGACGTGCTGTGTCTGCCAAGTACCAGGGTACCAGCTACGACACCAGGGTCCCCCCGCTCAGGAGAAAGCACAGCCGAAGTACCATGTGGAGCTGGCGTCCAGGCGTCGGAACCCAGTCCTGCCTCACGGACTGTTTGGCTGTGTCGGCTCCCTGGACGACCCGTGTGCCCTGCTTGGAGCCCCTCCCTGGGCACGGAGATGGGCTGTGCTGCCGAGGGGAGTCCACGGGGCCAGTGCGTGGATGCAGACCATCACCATGCACCCCAAACTCCCCGTCAGGGTGCCCTGAGAGAATAGTAAACATTCCCTCCATATGTTTAGATTCCCTCAAAATGGAAGAGACATTTCCCGTTGAGGGAAGGAGCGTCCACTCCCTTCTGTCAGATCTGAGCCAATCTTTATCCCAGTTCGTTCCTTCTGGGAGGTGGTCGTCTGTCCTTAAGAGGCCACATCTAACAGTAAGACTGAGCTCCACAGAGTGTGAAGTGGCAGGTGGGAATCTGGGTAATTGGAACTCTCTAGAACCCTGGCTGCCCCATGTAACCTGCTAGGACCCCAACACACAAAGGGACAGGGTGAGGTGCACAGTGGTGGCTACACATCTCTGCGGGGCAGACGGACCCCCATAGGCCTGACGCTGCTCTCCACAGGAGCGCCCACGGGCAAGGCCGGTCCCTGGCCCGAGACTGGGAATTTGGACGTCCAGAGGTTTCCCACCACTGCCTAACAGACAAGAATGGTGTCCTGTGCCTAAACTGTGCAAACAGCGGGCTGTGTGCTGAACCCCTGCTTTCCCTCTGGGAGTCCAGAATTGGGGTACACGCCAAGCAGGGGTGCCTACGGGGACCAGCCCCCAATTACAAACCTCAGGCACTGAGTCCTAATGAGTTTTCCTGGTGGCTGACCCTTCCCATGTGTTGTCCTAACTCGTTTCTGGGGGAATCAGACGCGGACTGATTCCACTCGGAGAGGACCCTCAGAAGCCCTGGACGTCCCCCCGCCATGTGCCCCTGCCCGTGGCTTCTGCTCTGTGTCCTTCCGCAGTGATGCATCTCAGCCCCGAGGACAGCTATCCGCGGAGTCCGGGAGTCCTCCCAGGGAGCTTCCGAACCCGGGCATGGCCCCAGGGAACCCCAGTGCAGCACCCGCCTTGGGACAGCAGGAAGAAGGCACCCACACTGCTTCTGTGCTTGGTTCACTGCTGTGCTTTTAAGTTCTGAGCAGGCAGCTGTTGAGGGTATGTGTATCTTGCAAAGCTTAAGAACAAGGCTTCCCACGAAATGCATTTCCTTCCTACCGGCTACATCTGCGGACTCCTTCCTGCAAGTTTTCACGATTACTTTAAGGGACATTTCCTAGGGCTATGAATTCCTATTTTGAATTATTAAAAAAAAAAAAAAAAACCCACCACAAAAACTCACCAGAATGAAACGGAAACTGTTGTTTGGCTTCTCCTGTGTGGGCATCCCAAATTATTGTTGTCTGTGCTCCGCAAACAAAAGGAAAAAGTTAGTAACTATTCTTCATGGAAAGATTTCTCTAGAAAAATTTAACATCCAAGAAAAGACTGTGAACAATCCCTTCCTTCTAAACTAGCACTGTCCCAAAGAGATACAATGTGAACCACAAAAGTCATTTTTAATTTTCTCGTTAACTACATTTAAAAAAAAGAAAGAAAAAGGGGCGCCTGGGTGGCTCAGTTGAGTGTTGACTCTCACTTTCGGCTCATTTCGTGATCTCGGGGTCCTGGGATCGAGCCCAAAGTAGGGCTCTGTGCTCAGTAGGGAGTCTGCTTGAGGATTCTCTCTCCCTCTCCCTCTGCCCCTCCCCTCGCATACATGCTTGTTCTCTCTCTCAAATAAATCTTAAAAAAAAAAAAAAAGGAAAAAGAAATCGGTAAAATTAATTTTAACAATACATTTTAGCTCACTCCAGTGTGGCCAAAATATTGTCTCAACACAGAATTGATACATAAACATTAATGAGATATCTGGCATCCTGTGTTTCATCTAGATTTTTGGGATCCAGTGTGGGTTCTACGCTCAGCGGTCCGATGGCTACATTTTGTGAACCAACAGCCACATGTGCTGGTGGCTACTCCACGGAACACTATCAGGAAAAGTGCCCCAATGGGTGGGGATCCCCCTTCCTCCCCAACACAGACACCTGCTGATAAACCTGCCACGAGGCACCTCGACACAGCTTTCTAGCACTTTGCCAAATGCAGAGCTTGAGAAGCTGGCAATTCTGACCCTGGCCCTGACCATCACCCCCCGCGGCGCGGACACACCAGATCCAGCACAGCAGTGTGTCACACTGGGCCCGGGCACGAGTCACCGCTGTACAAATACGGAGAAAAGTGATCTCCACCTTGCAAAGCAAAGTAAATCCTGAATCCTTAGGAACTTAAGGGAAGACAGGGAAGCAACCAGATGCAGCTCACTGACAGACGGGAATTGGGTTTTTTGTTTTTTAAAGATTTTATTTGAGAGAGAGAGCATGAGAGCAGGGAGCAGGGAGCCTGACATGGGGCTCGATCCCAGATCCCTGGGATCATGACCTGAGCCGAAGGCAGACACTTAAGTGACTAAGCCACCCAGGCGCCCCATGGGATTTAAGTCTTAAGCAACTGGAATGTCTACCTTACCTGGAACTTTTCCACCTCCCTGTCCATGGCACTTAAGAATCTGCTTTAAGAACTGCTTATATTTTGTATCAACTGCAGAAAATTGCAGATGAAATCCTCAGAGCACCAAGTAACTTTGAAACTCAGTTCTCTTAAGTTTGGGCCCAGCTCTAGACCAATGAACTTTTTTTTTTTTTTTAAGATTTTAGGTCATCTCTACACCCAACACAGGGCTCGAACTCACAACCCTGAGGATCAAGAGTCGTGCGCTCCACCGACTGAGCCAGCCAGGCACCCCTAGACCAGTTAACTTTCTTTGTGGTTTGGTGGAGCGTAACTCTTTTCTTAACGTAGCCACTCCCAAATGTGGCAATGCAGAGACTATATAAACTCTTTCAGTACTTCTGATACAATGTCACATACCGCAGCAGCAATCCTATCACCTAGCTGGTGCTTCCGCTAAGTATACAGGGGACGAAACAACACAATAACTACACAAAAGCTTTTTAAGACTGTGATATATCCTGCCGCCACTCCTTCCAGGTTTAGCATGCAGCGAAGGTCGACACCAGCATCCCTGTCCATGACCCTTCCTCCCTCGGTATCACTTTCGAGAACATTCTCATTATTCCTGCCATGGTTGATGAACAACAGCAGAGCGTGTGGGACCCAAACACGAAGTGAATTCCAAATGTGCATTTTCCGTGGCTGTCCGGCTCACCACCCGGTAGTCACAACTGAGAGGAAGGTGGAAAATCAAAAATGGAATATACAAAAAAGAGCCCCTGTGCAGGAGGCAGGTGAGGCTGCAAAGAACTTTTTAGGAAGTGTGAGGAGGTCAAAGGGCAGAAGTTACTGGCCATCCGGGGCGTGCACCCTGGACCCGGGTGTCCCTAGGGAAGTGAGTGCAGGTGCCTGTGAAATGGGGCTGTTGGCACCAGCGCTCACCTCCTCTCTTGGGAGCCCTGAAGAGGCCAACACGTACGGTGAGCGCGACGGCACTCTTCACTGACCTAGAGGGCTACCCTCTGGTGTGGGGGTTGGCACACACCGTCACCGGCCACATAGTAAACACCTTAGCCCATGCCCGTCACAGTGTTGACAGGTGGTGTCTATGACTGTCCATTCACTGTAGAACTCAAATGGATACCCAGCAGTAATGTAACCAGGTTTCCAAATGATCCTGACGTCAGTATGAAAACGTAAAGCCCTTCAGTGGTTTACACGACAGTCTAGTCCTCAGACCCAGTCGACAGTTGTAGAAACACAAACCACTTCTGTCTCCCTTCGGCTTCATTTCTCGAGAATACTTCCTCTCCAAAGTAAGGACTTCCAATTCCTGCTGAGTCTCAAGAATGATGTAAGCATTCCTTCCACGTTCTTTGGGGGTCCTGATTCCTGGCTCTTGGCAACCGAGGAAGCAGACCCAGAGAGAGTGGGCCACGCTCAGAGCCAGATGATGCCTGCACCTGCTGACTCCTTGCCCACCCACGGCTTCTAGAGGCCCTTGGCGGCTCGCGGCCACTCGGACCTGACCCCGTCCACCTGGCAGCCCTGTCCAGGCACAACGCGTGTGCCGAGTGTGCCCCATGGGCCGCCAGGGATGTGTCCCCTCGTGGGCGGGCCCGCTTTCCTCCAGCTCTCAAAGAAGCCTGCAGCCCACGACGGGAAGTCACAATTCACCGCATTAGGGAAACAGAAGCCTGGCGAGAGAAAACGGTTTGTGTTTCCAAAACTGCTCAGTGGGGGAAAGGTTTCTGTCCCGTGCATCCCACGCCACTTTGCTTTTCAACCATTGGATACATGCAACTGGGGGATTTCCTCTTTCCATCGCTGAATGACGTACCTCAAAAAAACGGGGGGAGAGGCTCTGCACAAAGGTCTGTGGAACAGACCTTGTTGAGAACAGACCATATGTTGAGAGAGTACGTGTTATATACGAACAGTAAGACCAAAACCACAAAAACAAAACTTAAAGCAGCTCTTCTGCCTTGTTAAGGAGGAGCAGAAAGCCTCAGAATTAAACACAAAAACAAAAAAACCCAGGATGTTACCCAGAGATTAAAAGTCAGCATCTACAGATCAAAGAGACATTTGTTTTTTGAGACCTATTTTAAGCGAATACTCACTTTGTCTACACCAGCACTCAAAATGTAATTCCCCTTTTTGTTCCATTTCAAGGCAAAGATGGGGCCTTTATGCTGCCCTAAGGTGCTGGCCAGGTTGCCTGTTAGGTAAAGAAAGAACAAACAGGCTGACTTCAAGGCCACGGTCGGCAGGTCAGCTCACCGCCAATCGCGTCACGAGGCACGCCTCCCGGTGCACGTGGGCGGGCCCGGCTCACCGTCTTCGGTCCATATCCGGGCGAAGCCGTCGTAGGAGCCTGTCGCCAACAGCGTCCCGTCGCTCTGCAGGCCAGAAACACACACACACACCGCCAACGGCTCGGTGTGAGCCAAGACGGCGCCTCGCCGGACCCCGGGGCTTGAGCAGCCTCGGCTCCCAGTGAAGACACTTAACGGAGCCCCGGGACCACAGGAGGCCCCAGTGCTCTGAACTGGCGACCTACGGTGTTCTGCCACGACACGGGGCGGACGAGGAAAACGCACTACAGCCAGTCACCCTGCCGACGTCCCGAAACATGCCATCCGAAAAGTTACAGGGACACTTGGAGACACTGACCGCGGCTGTTAAAAATGCGCTTGCACACAGACAGCAATCTGTGACGCAGGCAAACGCTAAAGGAGTTCGGAAGGCCTGCGTGCTTCCCAAGGGTAAATGCCTGTAACACCCGCCGCCCAAGCGGCGAGCCGGACGGTCCCTTCTCCTGGCTGCCTGTCCCCTCTCCGTCTCCTCATCCGTGGAACCACCGGGCTCATTTGCTCAGGGACAGAATGGGAGGCCCCCGAACACCCCACTAGCTGTCTGCCCAACACAGCCTTGCTAGACGCTCTCAGCAATGGGAGAGAAGCCCCGGGGGGGCAGCGGTGGTGGCTCACAGACCCGACGGCCCGCTGCCCTATGTCTGCGCCCCACCGAGCCTCGCCGGGGGACCGGCCGAGTTGGAGCTGCTAACGCATCTGGGTGGTGGCAGGTGCTTACGTTCCAGTCCAGTGAGGTCACGTCTTTATTACTCGGCACGTCATGTCCTCCTTCTCGTATACAATGCCTCAACACGAGCTGCGTGGAGCCCCCATTGCTGTTCTCATTAAGGTTCCATATTCTTGCCGTCGAGTCTCCGGATCTGTAGAAGGAAAGTGCACGTGCATTCATTCGGCTTCCCGTTCAAGCGCAAACAAAGCCCGTCAGCCTTTCTCAGGCTGCCTGTGTCAGCTAGCTCTGGCCTGTGGTCTCGTCTCTTCTTAATCCCGCTCACTGGCTGTGTTTCTTGCCTCACCACTTTTGTTGCTTTTAGTTGTTTTTTTTTTTTTTTTTCCAAGTAGGCTCCACACCCAACGTGGGTTTGAACTCACAACCTTGAGATCAAGAGTCACATGCTCTATTGAACGAGCCAGCCAGGCGCCCCTTTGCAATTTTAAGTATCTTTGTATCGCTCCCTACCCCACTGAGGACACAGGGCGGAGTGAGGGGCTTCTTCATGACCTGGGAAGGAGGGCATCATGGAGAGTCCAAGGTCTCGGTCCACACACCAAGGAGAGGGGAGCATGTATTCCATAAGGCACAGTTCCAGAAAGGAGAGAACATCGCAGATGCCCCAGACCCTGGGGCACCCCCGGCCTGGCATCCTTACCCGGAAGCTAGGAGATCACTGACAGGGTTCCAGGCACAAATGAACACCTCAGACTCGTGGCCCCGAAGGACTGTGGCTTTGTTGGGTGGAATCTCAACGTCTCCATCTATTTCCATTGGTTTCGAATGATTATCTGTCACAGGAAACAGGAAAAGACGTGTGGCTAACCGGCGTATAAAAGAAATGCGTTCTCGGCGCACCTGAGTGTTAGAGACACCTTCTTTTTATTTTTTGTTTTATTTTTTAAAATTTAAATTCAGTCAGCCAGTTAATAGTATGTCATGAGTTTCAGGTATAGAGTTCAATACATTATCAGTTGCATATAACACCTGGTGCTCCTCCCATGACATGCCTTCCTTAATGCCCATCACCCTGCTACCCCACCCCCACCCACCTTTCCTCCAGCAACCCTCAGTTTGTTTCCTGGAGTTAAGAGTCTCTCATGGTTCATCTCCCTCGCTGATGATCTCCCCTTCAGTTTTCCCTCCCTTCCCCTAGGATCCTCTGCATTGTTTCTTATGTTCCACGTATGAGTAAGACTATATAATCGTCTTGCTCTGATAGAGACATCTTTTTATGTGCTAGGTTAACATTACCTCTGACGATTTTAACTGTATCATGACTTTTGTGTAATTTAGTAAATGTATTACAGTTCTTTATTTCAACAGTCTCCAAATTTGATAGAGAAATACAAAGTTATTTATTCTGTATAACTAGGGCCACGCTAAGGTCTAACAACCGTCACCATCATGAGGCTGGTTGCGGGGTTGGGGGGGATGAGAGCTAGGTCGAGCCCAAAGGCTGCTGTTCTCCAGACGGGATGAGACATCTTATCCGTGAGCACCTGTCTGAGGTATCACCTCTTTATCTGTGATGCGCACTCCCAGTGGGAGAGGCCACCACTCTTCCAGCGTGCCCACCACCCTGCACCCCCTGCCTGCAAACATCCTCGTGTTCTCGGGATTGAAGTGCTCTTGTTTTTTCCTTCTTGGAGCCACCTCGTATCAGACTTCTTACGCCAAGCAGAGCTGCCAGGCTCTCTAACCGAGTAAGCCCGCCCTGGGTGACTCATGGGATCTGAGTTCTGAATTCCCGGGTAGGCCTGGTGACCGTGGAGACAAGCACACTAAATGCCACCCTTAAGAGAACCATCCCAGAAGGTGGCTGTTCTTCTCCCAAGTGGCAGGATACAGAAGCTTCTTGAAGGTCAGGATGAACGATCACTTCGGACACCACAGTCTGGCCTCAGCCTGCCTTGCAGCAAGATGACCACAAACTGTAGGTGGCCCCAGGCTTCAGGAAACAAAGTAAAAGTAAGGATGATGTGCCATGCCAGAGAGGAAGTAGCAGCGAGCCCTTGGGTGTGCTCCCTGGAGAGTGACAGGTAACCCACGGGCACCCACGAAATGAAGGCTATCTGTGTGTGAGCGGCCAGTCTGCTTTAAGGCCTGTACCCGTCTCTACGCAGCTAAGTCCCGTTAGATTTTCTTTTCTTCTTTTTTAAGTAGGCTCCTTGCCCAGCGTGGAGCCCAATGCAGGGCTTGAACTCACAACCCTGAGATCAAAACCTGAGCTGCGATCAAGAGTCGGATGCTTAAATGACTGAGCCACCCACATGCCCCAACCATTAAGATTTTCTACCCCCCCACCAGGTTTAAAAGAAATCAGTACAATTCAGGAGTCTGCAAAATTTGTCTTGGCAAACACAGATTTCTTGAAGTTCACCACTTACAAATTCGTTTCTCTGATGGAAGACTAAGAAAACAATGACCCTTAGTTTCTTCCAGTTTCATTTTTGAGAACTTGAGGGTTGTATTGCTTGTGAGTGGATAGGCACTAAGCGGTATGCGGCACGAGCTGCATATTGTCTTCTTCCTTCCCCGCCCCATCCTCGGGACCTGGTTAACAGCGATGATGGAAGCTACAGGTGGGAAGTCCTTCCGTTTCTACGCTAGACTCATGGCCCATACGTCATCCCACTTATCAGAATCTGCATCAAGCCTGTCTGGGTTCTCCATTTGATGGCGGATCGGATTCTGTAGCTGAAGAGAATTCGTTACCCTGTGCCCATGGACGAGAAGCTGCCGCCTCACCTGGGGCGGCTGACCAGCGAGCCACACGTAAGTGAGCCACACGCGAGCGCACACAGGCACGTACACATACGCACAGGTGTGTAACACACATCCTGCACGTGCACGCACACACTGCATGCTTTGAATGTAGGCCCTGAAGCAGTCTTTGAGTTTATAAGCCACGTGTCAGAGCGGAGTCCGGTTCTCTGGGTAGAAACTCAGGCGCTCTCATCAGCCACGTCCTTTAGGGCAATTACCTAACAGAGACTAAGCGCCCAGCATTTGGGGAGGACCACATAAGGCCACACCTGCTGTCTCCTGGGGCCCACTGCCCACTCCATAACCATGAGCTTGGCTAGTAGAGCAAATGCTGGCCCAACACGCTCAACACTGAAGGCCGGATAGAGGACCAGGGGCCTCCACAAATGAAACCCTTTGATGTGGCACAGTAATCACACGGTACGTCTTACTGTTACAAAAAACGAGTTCTCTGAGCAGCACGACTTCCTAAAATCGAGGATGTGTGCGTGAAGGCTGCCGCGTCTAAGGAATCTGATGAAAACAAAGCGTGAAGCTCTTCCCAGCAAACACGACGCCAACCCCGGGACTCCGAGAAATAGCCAGCAGAACCTGAAGAGTGCAACTCCCATGGACTCAGGAGAGAAACCGCCAGAAGCTCGCCCACTCCCAGAGCCCCGCACGTACTTATCGCGTGTGCTCCGTTCTCCTCCCCGTTCACCGTGGCCTCTCCGTTCTTTGGTGGGTGCTGCTGGGCCACGGCCGCCGGGGCTGCCGTGGCCGCCGTGGCTGCTGTGGCCGCTGCCGCTGCCGCCGCACTGGCCTGCTGCTGCTGAGCGAGCTTCTCCCGGAAGGCCTGCTGCCGCGTCTGCACCACGTCAGGCATCACAGCGTCGATCAGGGACAGGGACTCTATGGGGCGGCCGTCGAACACCGTGCCATCCTGGGGAGAGAGCCAGAGGGAGCGGCCGTCAGCTCCCGGGGCCCGGCGGCCTCTGCGCTCCAGGCCCGGCAGGTGCAGGGCCCAGAGCGATGCCCAGTCAGGGTGGGCCAGGGCCATGGGGGGCAGAGTGGGGGAGGAGGGGACGGGGTGACCGGGGATGTGGCTCAATGTCCTACAGTGCCCAGGCCGCCCCGCCACAAAGAATCATCTGGCCCCCACGTGTCGAGAGTGCCGAGTTTGAGAAGTCCTGCCCAGATGTTACGGTAAGTACAGAAAGTCTATGAACCACCACCCTCTTATGAGGGAGAGGCAGCTCTCTGGAAACCTCAAGACCAAATTAGAGATTTTGGCACCATTCAGGTTTGATTCCTTGTATGCGTGTCCATGTGACTTAATAAAATATCCATCTGCTGCCATTGGGGTTCAGGGTGTAGACTAAATGCAGCCGTGAAATATGGGCCACAGCACTGCTCAGTCCCCATGAGTGTTTTTTCAACTAGGTTTGATTCTCTGGCTTCTATCTGCAATGAAAAAGTTCCCATACACACTTGACACAGGAGGAAGTTCTTAGAAATTGTTCCAAATATCAGAGTCAGACAATAAGTCAGTGCTTCTGGGTTGTGGTTGCTGAATGTGCAAACACGTTTTTGCATATTCTGAACTTGAATTACCTCAGAAATTAGGAAGAAGTGAACGACAGGACTTTCAGCTGGACACAATCGAAATGACACATGACCCCAGCTGACTTCTGACCATCATACAATATTGTATTTGAAAGCAAGGAAACAATAGGAAATCCTGGAAAATGTGTAAGCAAGTAGCCAGTCACCTTGTTGGCCACCTTCACGGTTGGGTTCTGGCCACAGCATGGCCAATGTTGACCAAGCGGTCAGCACGCTTCCCTACCACCTTCTTCACAGAGTCACGCCTCAAATGGACAACTACTCGGCAGGAAGTAGAAACTGCCCAGAATAACGAAAACACCTCCCAGTTTAAACTCTGGAAGCATGCTGTCCCTCTGTTCAGTGACCACAAACTGAAGTCACAAATGAGGCGCCCTTTTATTCATCTCCAGACATGCTAGAACTTGGAAGTGAGGAAGAGACGCCACGAGGGCTTCTCGACAGACTGAAAACATGGAAACCGGGGGACGGAGACATCGAGCGGCAGCATCGCACAATCTGAGAGCTGATTGGGGGGGGGGGGCCTCTGGCACATGCGCTCCTATCCCATTTAACTGTTTTGTGGAAAAAAGAGACCAGACGGGGCCTCAAGGGGCTGGTGGAACACGGCCTCCAGGCACCCAATCTGAGGGGAGGGAGGAGGAGAGGGCCACTCAGGGAAGAACGTGCACATGACAGGCAGAAATTCGGGTGTTTTTCAAAGATGTGGGTTTTCCGAAACGGGTGGAGGAACATGGGTGGCCGCGTACAGGATGTATTTCTTTTGTAGTTTAAAAGCTACAGAGAACGCAGAATAAGACACGCTTGTAAGGAGCAGGTCCGTTCCAAGCGAAGGAGCGTGGAAGGAATCCAGCAGACGGGCCACGGGTGGCGTGGCCGTGACTGGTTTCCGAGCTGTTCCACGGTTGCCGGGCTCCGCTGGTGGGGGGCTTCCAGGCCACCGGCCCGTGCCCCGGGTGCGCACGTACCTCGTTGATGCTGATCTCGGCCTCCACATACTGCAGTCCCTTCTGCAGGATAGAGATGAGAGCAGCCGGCGGCACCAGCGTCCCGTTGATATTGGACTGGCTGATGTGGCTCTCGATGCCGAACGTGAACGCCGAGTGGGAAAAACCTGCAGTGAGAGACGGGGGCGGGCAGGGGACATAGGCTTTTGTGAGGCCCAGCCACGGAGAGCCAACGGCGGCTGTACGGATTGCAGGTGCTCGGGAATAGCCAGGCGGGGGGGCGGGGAGCGGGGGGCACAGGCCGGCCAGCTCCGGGGTGGGGCGAAGCGGCACCAACGGGCAGGGAGACAGAAGAGATGCAGCGGCCCCAGACCTGTGTGCAGGGGACGGAAACAGCTTTAGAGGTGGGGCCGTTTCGGTGTTATTAACAGCAAAACGGAGCATAATCTGCCCTGGATGATTGTTTCTTTTTTCTTTTTTAAATATTTTATTTATTTATTTGACAGAGAAAGAGAGAGAGAGAGAGAGAGCACAAGCAGGGGGAGTGTCAGAGGGAGAAGCAGGCTTCCCGCCGAGCAGGGAGCCTGGTGTGGGGCTTGATCCCAGGACCCCGGGATCATGACCTGAGCCGGGCAGACGCTTAACAACTGAGCCCCCCCAGGTGCCCCCCGGGGAAATGTTTCCGTTGCAGAATTGCAACTCTGGGCTTTCTCCCTATGTTGCCGTCACTCGTTTCAGAGCTCCCGGCTTCGGTCTCTGAGCGCCCCCCCCGGCCCAGCCGCAGTGCACACAGGGCAGGGCGCCTTTCTGGAGGCCGGGCTCCGAGGGCTCACGGCAGGCGGGGGGCCAAGGCACCACACGGCCAAACATCCGAAGTAGAAGAGACCATTCTGGACCCAAGGGGGTGGCTTGAGTCAATTTATCTAATAATCGGTAACTTTCCCTTGGCTATGGGATGCTGGCTCCTCCCCATCCCTCCCTCAGCACTCGTCAGGGTGGTTACCGCGTGTACAGAGCAATGCCTACATCCAGAAAGGAAGGTGGCAGGACAGGGCAGGGGGTAGGAGGTGCTGGGGACCCCTCGGGGGTCCAAAGGCGATCGGGAACCTGCTGTGGCCGCCGCTTCCTCAAGCAGAGTAAGGGGGCACCCTATGGCGGAGCTCCCGGCTGCTGCAGATCTTCCCTGCAAGGGGGCAGCCCAGTCCGCTGGGGGTACCGTCCCCTTGCTCGGTCTGGGGTGGCCAGGGGTGCCCGGGAGCTGGGAAGTCTTGTGGAGTGCAGGCCTTGCGACTAACAGGGGCCCCTATGCTTGGCTCCCTGCCTGGAGGTGGAGTGGGGCCAAAGGCTCTCCCACCGTGGGGCTCTGAACTCTCTTACCGTGTACACTGGCCATTCATCAGGCAAAAGGGAAGGCAGCGGGAGTTCTGGGGGTGAACCCTCCAGCTGCCTTGCCAGGATGTTCTGCCCATTGTGCAGCGAGAATCTGCTCATCCTACAAGGCTGGACCGCTCTGACCAGTCTTGGGGTTACCCCTTCAGCTCTGCCAGCCCCCCCTCATTTGTAAGGGGGGATCCCTCAAATCCCGCTCCCCGGGGGTCTCCTCCACGAGCACCTGCCCATCACCACTGGCTCATCCTACATGCTGGTGGGCCGCACGGGGCTCCCTGGGGGGTCACCGCTGCTGGCCTGCGCACGGCCTCCCACACTCATGCTGCTAGCACCCCACCTTCAGAAGCCAGACCGACAGGGGCATGGCACGGGCCCCGCCTTCCAGCAGATTTCCACATCGCGGCTCTCTGCCTTCCCCAGAGCAAAATACAACCAGCCGTTGCAATAAACGCAGCGCTCAGCAGATGGGAATGTTCCTCCGTGAAAGGAGCTTTCTGGGTTTGCGTTTTCCTCTCCTTTTCCCCCCGTCGACTTTCTGCTGCTCCTCAACCCACCCATTCATCCCCCCATGCCTGATTATAAGGAATATATAAAATGCGTCCTTTATTTATTTTCAGTCCTGTGCCAGCCACGGTGACTTACAACAGGCTGCAGGTCCCTTCCCAAACCGCGTGTGCCTACGAGCGCCGCACAGGCCCACCTCTGAGGCTCCCCCCCACCCATCTCCAGCCTCCCAGGGCCAGAGGCCAAGGCCCTCTCCACCCGCCTCCCCTCTGCCTTCGACCTTGCCCTCCATCTCAGACCTTTTCCCCTACCCCTCGGGCCAAGACGGAACCACCACCCCGTGTTACCCAGTGACTCTTCCCTGGACCTGCGCATGGTGGCCTCCTTACTCAGGACTCTTCGTGCCTGCTGACCCCACTTCCCCACTCTCGGGGCCCCCACCTCCTCCTCCATCTGTGGACCGCCCCCTCCCCAGGGGCGAACAGGGCGGAACACTGACTTCCATAGCCATTTCTCGTTTCCTGGTATCTTTCCAAAGTCCACCACCGGGCCACACCCACCGCAGGACTCATAAAAATAACAGGCAGCCCTTACTTACCCGGCGCCTGCTCTGGGCCAGCACTGCCCCACGCCCTTGCCACGACCTCGCTGCCACGACCTCCCCCACCCTGGGCCTCTGCCACCCTGACTGCGACGTCCCCTTCTATCGGGCAGGTCTCGAGCACCCTGGGCGCTCAGGCTGACATCCGAAGCCAGGCAGCGGGACGCCACTCTCAGCCCACCAGGCGACTCCACTGAGAACCGTCCACGGAAGCCACCAGCGGAGCCCCGCGCCGACAGCCAACACGGGAGCCAGCCGACTCGGGCACCGACAGCCGACACGGGCTCTGACAGCCGACACGGGTGCCGACAGCCGACACGGGGGGCGACCGCCGACACGGGCTCCGACAGCCGACACGGGAGCCGACAGCTGACACGGGGGGCGACCGCCGACACGGGCGCCGACAGCCGACACGGGCGCTGAGAGCCGACACGGGCACCGGCCGACTCGGGCTCCTGCGGGGGAGGCGTCCCTCTGGGTGACTCACAGCATGAGCGGGGAGGAGAGGTCAAGCCTCTGCTCTCCGTCTTGTGCGTCCAGCCAGCAGCTGTACCTAAACCCTGCAGCCCAGGGGACTCACAGACACTGATCTCTCACAGTTCTGGAGGCCGGGAAGTGCACGGTCCCGGGCCCAGATTTGGTGTGTGGTGAGCGCCGATTTCTGGTGCTCACACGGCAGAAGGGGCGAGCTAGCCCTGTGGGGGGTCTCCTTCAGAAGGACACGAATCCCATTCATGACAGTACCGTGCTTACAACCAAATCGCCTTCCAAAGGCCCTGCCTCCGAATACTGTCACGCAGGGGCTGGGGGGTTAGGATCCCAACAGAAGAATCTGAGGGAGACCCAAAATGTGGTCCAGCAGAACACGGCCTTCCTCCATCCCTTCCTGCTTCATCCTCTCAAATACTGGCCATAGTGCTACTCAAGGCACACGGAACAGCACATCCTGACCTCATGACTGCTGTTAAGCAAATGTGGGCACTCGGCGTCCATGATCTTCGAGGTGGCTGTTCAGTCAGTGCTGTTACGGCTTACACACAAGGACAGTAAATACTGGAGAAGTTAGGTAACGGGTCCAGGGTTCATGCATGTGCTGAGAGGCAGAAGCAGAATTTCAACTCTAGCTATGGGGCCGCAAGATTCATCGTTTCATCCGACCCTGAACACCCACAGGCACAGGAACCAGAATTCTTCAGTTCCCTGGGTGGATGCCAACTCCGTTTCCCAGCCGGAACTCGCTGGCTCCCATCAGCCACAGCCACGGATACAGCGTAGGCAACATGCAAAGGGCAAGCTGCAAGCCCACTTCTAACCCAACGTTCCACTGCGTCCTTGATTTCCTTCTGCATCCGGTGTTTAAATGTCACGTATAAGGTCTGGTTGCCTAAGTTTCTGATCTCTGTGCGTCATAATGCTTTGTGAGGTAGATCCCACTTTTGGAGACATTTGGACAACATTCAGTTGAGGCTTGCTGCAAGAAGGGGACAGAGATGAACCGAGGGTGTGGGAGTCTAAGACTGAAAAGAAGCTGGGAGAGGAATCGCTTGAATGAACCTCCCCCACTGAAGAAAAATGATGACTAAGCTGATGAAGGTGCACGGGAGTGCCATGAGCTTGAACATCTGTGATTAACACTTGTGTCCTCTACTGGGGGGGGGGGGCAGAAAATTATGACTGGAAACCAGATATCTTCATAAACACACGTGGTAATAATGTTCCATGTCACCACTGAAACTAGTCCTCCTATTTGCTTATAAATTTACACGAGCTGCATTTCTCTGGGCGAATCTATGCATGGCCTCTAAATCAATGGTTTTTTCATCCATTTGTTTGGGAGACTTTCTTCTTGACTTTGAGCCACCCTGATTTCATTAAGGCAAGCAGGAGGGCCAGGTGCAGAGAATGTCAGGAACAGTCAGGAGCGCTGGGTCTGTCCTCGACCCCCCACTGAGTGCCTGGGCCAGGACACTTCATTTGGCTGGGCCTCTGTTTCCTGTTCTATGTTGTGGGGATAAAACATACCTCAAAAGGAGCTGATGCGAGAACCAGATGTGAGACCAGCAGGCCTGCACACGTTTTTGAATCTAGAGAAGACCCTGAACTAGTAGAAACCTTCCTTCTCTGTCTTTCCTTGTTTGTTCAGTGAGGAGACCGGATGAAACCATCACTCGGATACCTTGCAGCCCTGATGTTCATTCATCATGGAACAGGGACATGTCCACAGACCATGTGAGCAAGGCCTGTTTGAGCAATTTCTCTTACGCTCGGGTTACTGGAGCTCTGCCGTGCGCCAGTGTGTTGTGTAAGGTGCCATCTTGGAAGACTGGCCCCTCCGGGCAGGATGCTTCTCCGCTGGGGCTGGCCCAGCCTCCACCACCACCAGCACCCCACTCCTCCCAAGTGGACTCCAAGGCTAAGGAGTCTATTCATTTGCAGTCTGCCAGAGTGGTCAGACTCCTTGCCTTACACCTCCTTCAGCTTTCAGTGCTTGTCTTCTTCCGCCCAAGGGGACATCAGTAGGAAAAAGCACATTATGTCAATGATGGGAGATGGAAATACTCAGGGACTAGTCCAACAGCAGGTGTGGAAGTTGTTAAAAAGGAGGAGAATAAAGAGCTTAGTGGTACCTGGATGAAAGACCTGTGTGAGGGCAACGTGTCGGCATCCCTGGTG